TAGTTCTGGAATCATTAGCTGCAGCCATTAAACATGAAAGAGAAAAGGAATAAGAATAGGTAAAGAAGTTAAATTATAATTATTTGCAGATGATATGATACTTTACTTGGAAGACCCAAAAAAACTCCACCAAGAAGCTACTAGAATTGATACACAAATTCAGTAGCATAGCAGGATACAAAGTCAATATCCAAAAGTCAATAGCATTCCTCTACACAGATAACAAACACACTTAGAGGGAAATTAGAGAAACAATGCCTTTTACAGTCGCACTGTGGAAAATGAAATACCTCTGAAGTCAAAGATGTTTTCACGGAAAATTACAGTACTCTGAAAAAAGAGATGGTAGAGAATTTCAGAAAATGGAAAGATATTCCCTGCTCCTGGATAGAAAGAACCAACATTGTGAAGATGGCCATACTCCCAAAGTTGCTATACAGATTTAACAAATCCCTATCAGACTACCACCAACATACCTCACAGACCTAGAGAAATTGTTCCTAAAATTTATTTGGAACCACAAAAGATCTAGAATAGCAAAGACAATCCTGGGCAACAAAGGCAAGGCAGGAACCATTACAATTCCTGACTTGAAATTATACTACAAAGCTACTGTGATAAAATCAGCATGGTACTGACAACAAAATGGACCTGAGGATCAATGGAATAGATTAGAAGATGCAGAGGCCTGTACATACACATTCAGCCACCTGTTCTTCGACAAAGGGGCCAAACATGCTTACTAAAAGAAAGATAGCCTCTTTAACAAATGGTGCTGGAAAAACTGGCTCTCTACATGCCAAAAACTAAAACTTGACCCAGTTCTATCACTATGCACTAAGCTAAAGTCAAAATGGAATAAATATAAAAACTAAACCAGAAACACTAAATCTCCTGGAAGAGAAAAGAGGAGGAACTCTTGAAGATATAGGGGTAAGCAAAGAGTTCATGAACAAAAATCAAATCACACAGGTAATAGCTGAAAGAATTAAAAACTGGAACCTCCTCTTATTGAGAAGTTTTTGCATGTGAAAACAAATTACCAACAAAGTGAAAAGACAACCCACAAATTTCGAAAGAATCTTAACTAAACACTCAGACAAAGGTCTGCTCTCTGAAATTTATAAAGAACTAAAAAACATTAGGGCCCAAAATGTAAAGATCCAATCCAGAAATGGGCATCCAAGATGAATACACACTTCTCAGAAGATGAAATTAAAGAAGCAAATAAATATATGAAAAAATGCTCCACATCACCAGCCATCGTGAAATGCAAATTAAAACAACACTGAGATACCATCTCACCCTAGAAAGAATGGCTATCATAAACAAATCAACTAACAGCAAATGTTGGAGAGACTGTGGGGAAAAAGGAACCCTTCTCCACTGCTGGTGGGAATGTAAACTGGTGCAAGCATTATGAAAATCATTGTGGAGACTCCTTAAAAAACTGGGACTGGAAATCCCATTCAAGCCAGCTATCCCCCTACTGGGAATTTTCCCAGAGGAACTGAAAATGTCATATCATAGTGATATATGTGTACCTATGTTTATAGCAGCACAATTTGTGATAGCCAAGTCTTGGAAACAACCAAGATGCCGGTCACCTGAGGAATGGATGAAAAAGATGTGGTATTTCTATACAATGGAGTATTACTTAGCTATAAAGAATGATAAACTTTAAGCATTTATATTTAAGTGGATGCCAGTTGAAGATATACTCATAAGTGAAATAATATTTACACAGACCCTCATATATAAATATCATATAGTCCCCCTAGTACAAGAAATAAAAAGAAGAAAGGAAGGATACAAGGAAAGCCAACATTTTGGCCCTAACCTTCTAAGGTCAATTAAGACTCAGGACATATGAGAACTTGTACTGTAACGTCATG